CCTGGACTACGGTTCAAAAGCACCAAAACTCTTAATTCCCATGAAATCCAAGCAGATCTCCAAACTGACAGAGGGCAGGCTTAGATGAGATATTAGGAGGAGACTCTTTGCTGTGAGGGTGGTGAGGTAAATCCACGTCCCCCGTGTCCGCCCCCGAAGGGCAATGTCTGGTGCTGCTGCCCTCAACGTCACTGCGTGTCAGGACAGACTGCACCAAACCCAAATAAGCAGAACAACCAGCCTGCTGACAAGGTTGTTCACAAAACCCAGAGTCTGGAATTGCCTCTGGCAGCAGCTTGCCCAGGGTTTAGTCCAGAGGAGGGAGACTTGCCCATGTCACAGTTGCTTAGGCGTGAAGTGACAGCCAGTTGAGTCCCAGAGGGAAGGCTTTCCAGATGAAGCCTGTAGGTCGCTGCTTCCAACAGCACAGGGACCAGTATAGAGGGAAAGCTTGTGGGACAGTTACTGGGGCTGGGCAGGCTCAGCCACTCGGGGTGACAGCAGGAGTTTTAGGGACTGAAATCTCAGCGCAGCCAAAGCAGATGTAGAACAAAGCATAACATAATGGTTATGTTATCATCCATGGAAGGATCTACAAGGGACCTGCACTCCCATGGAGTGGGAACTGCTGTCCTTTTAAGAGAGTCCCACTGTCTTGCCCAAAACTATCAGGAGTTTCTTGCTAGAGGCTGGTGCCACATTGGGAACTGAGGGCCCTTTGTGTTGAATGAAACCCCCAGTTTCCCCTGAATGGGTCCTTAAAGATAAGAAGCAGCAGAATGGCTGTGCTTATTACAGAGACTGCACCAAGTGACATAGGATGGCAGTAGAATTACAGGATCATGGAATCATTACAATTGGAAAAGCCCTCTAAGATCATAGAGTTCAACCATTAACCCAGCACTGCCAAGCCCACCACTAAACCATGTCCCCAAGTGACACATCCACACGTTTTTTGAACACTTCCAGGGATGGTGACTTCACCACTGGCCTGGGCAGACAGTTTTGATGCCTGACCACACTTTCAATAAAGAAATCTTCCCTAACATCCAATCTAAACCTCCCTTGCCATACCTTGAGGCTGTTTCCTCTCATCCTGTCCCTTGTTAGCTGGCAGCAGAGCCAGACCCCCATTTGGGTCCACCCTCCTGTCAGGGAATTGTAGAGAGCAATAAGTTCTTGCTCTGGGTCTGTCCTACAAGAAACATCGGCACCAAAGAAAATCCTGCCCTTAAGAAGAGGGGCAATTTAATATCTGGATGAAATGAAGAGCAACCCTGTGTTGCCCAGGCAGATCCATTGTGGGCTGGTTCCTCCAGGTGGATTGTCAGCTGTCCCTGACTGAGCAGTGGTGGCCGTGTTGCCCATACACAAAGAGCCCCATGGCCACTCTAAATTGCACCCCATCCACTGGACAGTGAAATGATTTTCCAGCTCTTCTCACATTCCCATTAACTTAGGAGCACTCCACTGGATTCATGGCTTCTCAGAATTCAGAAGGATGTTTTTGGTCGTTGAGGACACACTTTGAGGTCATGAACTTCGAATTTCAGAAGGATGTATTTGGTCCCTGAGGTCAAGGCATTAACTCGTGCAGATCCCATGTCTTCCACACAGAGTCAGCACAAAAACAGGTGCACTCACTAAGTTTTAAGGCCACTATCCTGCTTTTTTTTCCCAACCACTTTCAGATAGGCTCTGGGAAGAGAAAAATCGTTCATTTTTTGATATATTTCCTTCTCCTATTTAAAAAATTCAGTTTTGGTATCTAGGAAAATTTTGTAGTTCTGAGCACTTTACCTTCTACCTTAAGCAAAGTCCCTTCCCCTCAAAAAGAAGATAAATTAAATTCCAAGGCAGTCACCCTTCTCCTTCAACCTAAAACCCACACATGGACTTTCACCATTCATTTTTTCATCTCCAGAGATGTTTAGGCTTTGGTTTCCTAGTACTTCCATGCAGCTAAGTGAGCTGTTACCACCTGAAGAGGTTCTGGGTTGAACAGCCACTCGCAGCACAGCAACTGTCCGAGCACCCTGGGAAATGCCTCCAGTCCCACTGATCAGGATAAGCAGGAGGAAGAGCCGAGCCAAGGGCATGCCCCCATGCCCACAGGAGGGTGCCTGCTGCTCAGTGGCCTCAACGCCCAACAGCGAGCCTCTTCCTCAGGGCAGGCAAGTCTCCTCATCCAGGGATGCCACAGGCACTCGGGACCCTGAAGCCCAGCTCCTCAACTCCATCTCAGTGAAGAGGACACGCTGGAAGCCAGACAGGATGTAGCCACCACCTCTCTGTTTCGCCCTTTTGCAAATTGACTTGCTCTGTGCCCTCTGCTCTGCTTAATTGATCCTCTGCCCATCTCCAGCAAACAAATTGTTCTCCTGTCTCATTCATAATATGCTCCAAATAAAGTGTGTTTCTGCCTGAGCAAACGCCTTCCGGGGGTACTTTAAACTGTCACAGTGCATAAGGCTTTCCCTGAAATCTGCATTTTTACAGTGCTGGCTCCCCACAATGGCCCCTGGAGCCACACTTAATCTATTTCAAGGGATGTAGAGACTTCTCTTGCTTAAACAACTTGGCTAGGAAAGCAAAGCTCGCTTTAAACCTTTTCATCATCCCTTTCCCCCCCAATCCAGCTGGGTTTTCCTTTTCTATCCTGAAAACAAAGAAGCAAACCAAACTTCAAAAAAGTGTTTGCTGATCCATCTCCAAGAACTCATGAAATCGAAGCACCATCCAGTTGAAACTGGGCAAGGACTCAAATCATTGTGGGATCTGAGGACCAGCAGCAGTCACAGTTCATTCAACCCAGCCTTGCTGCCTGAGGAGCACTGCTGAGGCTGAAGCCCTTCAAAGCACACTTCGAGCAAGCAGCCAGTGTGCCCAGGAGATGTGATTCACAGCTGTGAAATCCCACCACAAGCTTGTAACTTACTCCAAACCCGAGGCTGGTACAGAAATCCTGCCGAAGGAGAAAGCCATCTGTGCTGGTAACAGGGAGGAGCTCAGATCTGAGCTTTTTCACAGCCTTCTCATGTATTTCCAGGACACAAAACCAAGCATCTCCCACCCAACAGATCTCCCATATTTGTACAGGATAGCTTTAGGGAGCAAGGAACTCCTCAGCATCGGGAGGCACAGATCAAACTGCTCCAGTTTTGTCTTTAAATCTGTGTATCATGGAGACAAAAAAAAAAAAAACAAAACAAGACCAAGACCAAGGTCCCAGAGCCCCTTCCGAGGAACCCCGACATGGGCAGCAAGGCAGAAAAATGCACACACAGCACACGGAGCAGAGCAAAGGTTTTTCCCCTCAACTGATGCTGGCAGGTTCTCACCACGCAGCCCTGCCTTGCTCAGGGCCGGCAAGGGCAAATTTGGAGCATGGGCTTGGCAGGATATTGCAAAAGCTGGGATCAGAGCTGCATCCCAGCTGGAGTCTAAAATAACTATGAGATTACCTCCACAGGAGCTCAGCCAGCATGGATAATGCTTGGACTATTCCTCTCCCAGCTCGCCACAGTCTTGCCTGGCTTTCCTTCCACCTTTCTTCAAAGCCTCCTTCGTTGCAGGAACTTTATTCCTTCCCCTCCCCACTGAGGAGAAAGAGAAGGGGAGAGGTCAGGGATCCATGGCTGGAGCCAACAAACAGCATCCCAGTGCCGAGCCACGGGTGATTCCAACGCCAGCAGGTGCCAGCCAGAGTTTAGCACAAAGCTGCTTCTCCTTTGTCCTGAAACAGCAAAGTCTCAGAAGAAGGCATGAGACAGACACAACCTCAGTGATGCTGTGAGGGTACAAATCAGTAATGCAGCTGCCCTCACCTCCCCAGGAAAAAGGGGATCCTTGTGGGTCCCTTCCAACTCAGGATGTGTGAGGATGGGCACGAATTATGGATGTGCAGGCCTCCTTGGGGAGCTGGGGGCACCTCTCTCCACAGAAATGAGGGCTGCTGCTCCACAGACTCACAGAAACACAACACTGGACAAACAGATGCTGTGGTCAACTAGAACACAGCGCCCTGGTGACACAGCCATGAGGGCTGCAGTCCTCTCTAGGTCACCTTGGCTGCTTGGAAGCTCTTGGTGCAAGGAAGAGGAGAAACCAAGCAGGACATGTGGTGATAGTACGATTGCCCACACACCCAGGACCTGGCTCGGGGAGAAAGTTTGCCAGTGGTCAGGTTGTTCTCAGCACCTGGGATTCAATGGACCACTGGAAGCCACCAACCTGCAGCCACAAGGATGCTCTGGTGCCGGTGCTGCAGTTCTGGGAGAGGCTGTCCCTCCATCCCCAGCGGTGTGTGTGGTGCTGCCCAGAGCCAACTCCTTCAAAGGAAAAGGGAAGAAGAAGCAGAGCAGGGCACAGAAAACACAAAAGATCAAATGTTCCCAGCACATCTCCATCAAACTTCAGACATGTTACAAAACTGCCTAGTTTTGTTAAGGAAAAGTAGGTGCTGGGTAGGGGTGGGAATGTCTGAAAATTTAATACTCAGAAAAAAAAAACCCTGTGTTTTTTCTGATTTCCATACTGAAAAACAACAATGCAAGGGAAAAGTATCAGCTGGTTTGTCTTAAGGGAAGTTTCCCATTATATAGACACTTTATAAATACATACACTTTATATTTCAATGTATCTATGCATACCTATATATAAATATTATATATGTATTATATGTGTATGTAAATAGTTACATATAAATATTTTAATTTTTTTTTTTTTACACACTCACCCTTCTCTGTCAATTTCTCAGCTCCTTTCAAACATCCATGGCAGGACCTGGCAATACACTCAGCATCCCAAAGGCTCCGAGTGCTGCTGGGGTGGGGTGACTGATCATTCCAAGATGATCCTTAGGGTCCCCTCCAACACAAACCATTTTGTCCCCTGCCACCAGTGGCAAGACCTGGGCTCCAATGCTGCAGCCAAGCAAAACCCTGACACACTTTAGATCAGGAAAAGACACAACCAAGCAAGGGGGATGTCAGGGGATAAGCTCTAAAGCCATTTATTGAAAGCATAGAAATTCACATGAAACCAAAGCTGGACACGCAGGAGGAGGGATGAGCTTTGTCAGGTTTCTTAAAGGGTCACTGTGTTTCTGATCTTTTAAACAGTCTCTTCATCCCCTTCCAAAGGATGTAACTTTGGGATGGTAAGAAGCTGTTTCTTCCTCCACTGGAGGAGCATAAAAATAAACCTGTCAGCTCATATTATATACACATATATGGGCTGTAGTTATGTTCTGTGGGGAAATACCACTTTCTCAGTATGTAAAATTAAGAATCATTACCCTTATTTTCTTTATCTTACTGAAATTTTCTTTTTTTTAACCAAAAACTTTGAGACTTGAAGTCTGAAGGTACCTCAGAGCCCATCATCCAGGAGAAAACCAGCTGAGCAGCCAACCTGGGCACATCACGTACAGGACAACAAACCCCAGGGTGCTGGCTACAAGAGCTCTAATCTGGATCCTAACCATGGGACACAAGAACACAAAACAGGGCTCCTTTTCCTTATAAAACAGGCACTATCTGTACAATGTTGCCACAGCCACAGTTGCCTGGCTGGGATGGCAGGGAATTTAATACCAGAGGCGAAAACCTTTTCTCTCTCTTGTTTTTTGGACACACAGGTATTGCATCTGTGTTGGATCATGCATGGAAATGCAAAGCTTTGGTAAAGCTGGAGGACACCAGCCATCCAAAACCCTGTCCTTGAGGGCCAGGGCTGCCTGGCACAGGCACTGCCAGGGCCTAACAGACCATGGGAGACAAGCCACAGCCAGGGAAGCAACCTGGCTTTCCAGAAGTCTGGCAAAACACACCAAAAAAACCACATTCAGGAGGTTGGATGGGTACGATGAGACACAGCAAGCAAGATAAATGAGATCCTCCAGCTGACCAAGAGCCACTCAACTCCTGAACGAGACCTGCATCACAGCCCAGCATGCTCCCAATGCCCTGGGAAATCTGTCCTTCAGCCCTGCTGCCTGCTATGGCCCCTCCCCAGGCCGGGGACCCCTCCACAAGAATGGCACATGGAGCAGGATGGTGGCAAGTTGATAAAAGGGCAAAGAAGCCCCAGCTGAGCCAAAGCAACCAACATCAAGAGCACGGCAGCTGGGGAGGTTTGGTGTCTGCAACTTGAAGGCAGCTCCTTCCCTAGGGAATAGTCCTGCTTTGTCCATTCCAGTCTCTCCTAGAGACAGAAGTCCCCACTGGAGGCATGAGGGTGATCTGGCAGCACTTCTGCCTGGGGCTGAGGCTGGCAGGGAGGTGCCAGGCTTCCTCCCAGCACCGGGTGTTCTTCAGGGAGTCCCATGGGAGAGCTGGGCAAACCACAGCTGCTGTGGGTCTAGGAGAGAGAGAAAGCAGAGGTGAGGCCCTTTGCAGGGGTTTATTAGCACTGGTCAGGCTGATCTCAGAGGGGCCTGGCAGGAGGGGGAGCAGGGCAGCCACCCCATGCACATCCCAGCCTTCCCCCAGGGCCTCTCCTGCAAATCCTACCCGTTGCTGGCACTGGTTTTCACCTACGGACCTGCCTGGGCAGGTATCCCAGCCCTGTGGATCATGGGAAACCACGAGCACCTCGGCTGCATCTGAAGCAGTGCCTGGTCCTGCACCTGCACTCCTGGCAAGCCAAAAACACGAGGTGGCCACCGAGCTCTAGAGATGTGTCAGGGCTGGTTCTACACACTCCCAGGCAGGGCCAGAGTGAAGCTCTTCAACAGAGCGAGAAGGTGCCTGGCATACGAGTTGGAGGTGGTGTGGAATGGGAGGAGGTGTGGAATGGGAGAAGCTGAGGTGCATGGGACACTCAGATCCAGTGCTGTGGTCCTGGCCTTGGGATGCTGGAGGGCTCAGCAGCAGCCAGGTGGGCTCTCCACAGGGGTTGTGCACAGGCCAGGGGATGCTTTCACAAAGGAAAGACCTGATGCTACAGAATATCATCTCACATGTGCTTTGTATCACCCATCACAGCTCACCAGTGCCTGGCTGGAACCACTCCTTATACAGAAACAGCAATTAAACAAACAATATGGAAATCAGAGCGAGGAATGGCCACCTCCAAACTAACTCACAGGCTGGTCTTTTGCTCTTCAACTCTTAGTGCAAAGAAAAGCCACTAAAACCTCCCTTTCTGGCCATGCAGTAGCTAGAGCAAGGCCTTTTCCATGTACTCACCAGTCAGTGTGCCTCCCAGTGCCAAGGCTCCCGGGCAATACCAGCACAGAAAACACTGAACCCCAGAGTGGAGACAGGCCCTTACCCTGTGCCTGCCCTCCTGGCTCAGAGCAGAAGTGTACCCTTACCCTGTGCCTGCCCTCCTGGCTCAGAGCAGAAGTGTACCCTTACCCTGTGCCTGCCCTCCTGGCTCAGAGCAGAAGTGTACCCTTACCCTGTGCCTGCCCTCCTGGCTCAGAGCAGAAGTGTACCCTTACCCTGTGCCTGCCCTCCTGGCTCAGAGCAGAGGTGTACGGCCCGCAGGAATTCAGGGTCTCCAGGCTGCCGATGTTCCTGAAGTGCCCTGCAGCTGAGCTCGGGAAAGGGTGCTGTGGCATGGAGGGAACAGGGCTCAGCTGCTTTTCGGAAATAAGCTGGTAGGAAGGGGGAAAAAAACTGGTGTACAGAGCCATCTCCTCCCGGGAGTCCCCGCTGCCTGTGGTTTCCACGCTGCATGATCCGTTCAGGTTGAAGTGCTGTGGCAGCAGGCCAGGCCCTGGACCCAAGCAGCCCTGGTGCTGGGAGGTGAAGTCTTGGGTGATGCCATAAAAACCGGGCTGAGCTGGAGACCCCAGGAGTGGGGAAACATAGTCCTGCCACGGGCTGGGACTGCTGCTGCTGCTGGGGAGGAGGTGTGGAGGGGAGTCAGGGCTGTGGCCACACAGCCCGTTCAGCAGTGAGTGACGGTGTTTCGGACAGCCGGGGCATCCCACACGGTCCTGGCACTGGCTGGGCAGGGAGAAGGACCCGTGAGCATCCTCCTGGATGGGCTGCACAGCTGGATAGTCACTCTCAAGCCACCGAGCCCTGGGTGGCTCCTGCCTGCAGGGGGCTCCTGTGGGTGAGCTGGGGGCCTTGTCCCATGGGATGCCCTGCGCTGGCTGGAGGAAGCAGAGCAGAGCCTCCTCCCCAGTTGGTCTCCACTGTGAGCCAGAGCCATCCGACGGCCCTTCCTCCTCTGGCAGCAGCCCTGGCACAGCGTGGAGAGGCTGTTCCCACAGCTGGCCCAGGGCAGGGCTGGGCTGCACCACACCCTGTGGCAGGTCCTCACTCTCTGAGGGGGACAGAGCAGGGCCTCCCCGTGGGCTCGGGGACAAGCCTGGCAGGGAACATGCCTGTTGCCCTCCCTCGTGCTTGTCCACTGGAGGGCTGTGGATGTAGGAGAGAATCTGGTTGCTGGCCAGGCTGTCTTTCAGGGATGGGGAGGGCTCTGGGTCCACATTGACCATCACCATCTTCTCATCCAGCAGCAGGAGATCCAGGTCCTCTGCATTCAACCCCAGCCCCTCCAGTGCACTGAAGAGCTCGTTGTTGGAACAGCTCTCGTCGCTCTTAATTGACAGCGAGTCCAAGGTGGCCAAGAGAGGGTCCTCCTGCTGTGAATCCAGCAGCTCCTCTTTGAGGTTGTTCCCTCTTGAAGAAACTGGAGCAGCACCCATACTCCAGGTATCCCTTCCTGCATCTGGCACGGACACATCTTCGAGGTGGAAACTGCTACTGCAGGAGGGATTAGGAGTGGGAGCTGTGTGGGAGGCGTACACTGCCTTGTCCTGTCGCATCACAGCGCCCAGCAGAGAACTGGGGTCAACACCATTCTTCTGGGAGCGCCCTCCAGGGCTGCAGGAGGTCTTCTTGGACTTGCTGGTTTTCCCTTTGCTCTGGAAAGGATCAGGGAAGCCCAGGAGAGGATACGCACTTTGGTATAGGAGCGCCTCTCCTGTGGCAAAGGTGAATGGAAGATGCATGGACCGTTTCCGAAGGTGCTCTCCTCCTTCTTCATCTCTGCGGGGAAGGAAGAGCAGAGTGTGGCTTACACGTGCACAAATACACCACACAAAGTGCTTCTGCAATGGATAATTCTGGTCCCTCCAAGCAAACCCTTTGCTACAACCAGCATGCATTTACATACAAATTCACACACATTTTTATACACATACACATAAACCCCCACATCTCCAGCATAACCAAGCATCATCCCATCCTTGAAGGGTGGCCTTGCAGAGGGGGACACGGCTGAACAGCATGACAGCACGGTATCCTATGGCTGCTCCTTTAAAAGGCACAAGAAGCAACGACAGATCCAACATCGTGCCCTGCTCGGGGCATCCCAGAGCCCACAGCGATGGAAACAGCCAGCCTGTCCCCCTCCCAGCCCGGGCACGTACACGAGGGGTCTCTGGGTGACCACGATGTACTCGGGTTTGCCGTTCTTGTAGACGAGCCGAGCGTTGGCCTGCACCCACTTCCAGCGGTTCTCTTTCGTCAGCAGCCGGAACACCGTCAGCCCGCTCTCCCCCGTCTTCATCACTACCAGGAGGAAGCATGTGTGCTGAGGGCTGCCACCACCTCACCAGAGGCACAGCTGCCTCTGGTGACACTGCCCTTTCCAGCCAGGATAAGCAGCTGGGGTCAGAGCAGGAGCGTGGCTGGCACACACAGGGGACACCTGTGGCCAGCCAAATACCCCTGCCTGCACTCACAGGATCCCAGAATATGCCGAGTTGGAAGGGACCCACAAGGGTCATCAAGTCCAACCCTTTGTCCTGCACAGGCCCATCCCCAAGAGTCACACCCTGTGCCCCAGAGGATCATCCAAACCCTCCTGGAGCTCTGGCAGCCTTGGGGCTGTGCCCACTGCCCTGGGGAGCCTGGTCAGTGCCCAAACACCCTCTGGGGGAAGAACCTTTGCCTGAGATCCAACCTAACCCTGCCCTGACACAACTTCAGGCCGTTCCCTGGGTCCTGTCCCTGGTCCCCAAAGAGCAGAGCTCAGTCCCTGTCCCTCCTCTGCCCCTCCCCAGGAAGGTGGAACTGCAGTGAGGTCTCCCCTCAGTCTCCTCCAGCTGAACACACCAAGTGCCCTCAGTGTCCTCCCATGGCTTCCCCTCCAGGCCCTTCACCATCTTTGTTGCCTCCTTTGGACAGTCTCTAAGAGCTTGATATCTCCACCCCAAGCTCCCTGCAGTGACAGGAGCCCCACAGCAAAGCATAAAGTAAAGCATCCTACAGGGAAAGAGCCCCTGGGCTTGACACGGCAGCCAAGGGAGCTGCCCGTGGTCCCAGCCCACTCCTCAGCACTAGGGGTGGGCACAAGTGGCCAGGGCAGGGCCTCTTACTCCTGACGTGGTTCTCGGCGCAGTACAGCGTGTCGGCGGCGTGCACGAACTGGTAGCCGGTGCCGCACATCCGCAGCTCCGCCTCCGTGTAGCCCAGGACGATCTTCCCCCTGCGGGGGACGGGGAACACACCCAGCTCACGGCTGTGCCAGGGGATGCAGCGCTGGAAGCCCACAGCACCACCCCTCAAACCAGCTCTGCTCCTTACTTGGCATCACACGCCAAGGGGGTGAAGTCCAGCTTGTGCTTGGTCCTGAAGATCATGTTCTTGGTGCGGATCTGCAGGATGGACGGGGGCTGCAGCGGGGTGGAGATGGCGAAGAGAGCGAGCTGGGGGGGCAGTGCAGACCCGTCTTCGGACCTTTTGTTCTGCCCATGAAGGAATTTCAACCTGCCTTGCAGGTTTAAAGCCTGGGAAGAGAAGAAAAGCTCAGTATCGTGCAGAAAAGCGGACGAAGAGAGAAGAGAGGGAGCAGAGCTGCACTGAAAGCAAGATGTCTGTCTGCAGAGTTGGTGTAAATAGAATCACTGAATCGTAGAATGGTTTGGTTTTGGAAGCACCTTAAGAATCATCTCATTCCAACCCCCTTCCACTAGCCCCATCCAACCTGGCCTTGAACACTTTCAGCAGGGATGGGGCAGCCACAGCTTTTCTGGGCAACCTGTGCCAGGGCCTCACCACCCTTGTGACCTGTCCTTCCAAATCCAGTGCTCTGCAGCAGAGAGGAGGAGGGATGAACACCACCTACTCGGTTTAAAGACACGTCTTTAACAGAAAAACCAAGTTAAACACATGGTGGAAAAGCACTTTTGTTCAGGATTCAGCATGTCTGAGAGGAGAGGAACAAGACACACATGGAGAGGCTGCAGGTGCAGACCAAGCCTGTGGAAATCAGGGGAAGTCTCCTTGCTGAGACAGGCAGATACTGCACATGGTAGAAAGGTCTTCCAAGAGTAACTTGCTTCAGCAGTGATATGAACCCCTGGCGTGAGCCTGTCCCACCCTCCTGCTGTGGAGGGTCTGCACTCACCAGGAAGCCAGAGGAACTGTCCAGGAGGCAGCGAAAACGGCACACAAAGCTCCTTTCCAGGAAGGAGGAGTTTTCTGGGGGCAGCTGATCCGGCTTGTAGATCCCAGCAGAAGAGCCAAGGCTTTTCCCCCCTATGGAAGAGATGGACTGAGAGAAGATCAAGCAAGGATTCACCCCAGTGATGGCTGGAGATCCCTAGAAAGGGCTGGAGGTCCCCAGCGTTGGGCACTGCATCAGTTTGCAGTGATCACAGCAACAGAAACTCGGGAAAAGCCACAATGTTTGGATGAAGCCATGACTTGAGCCACACAGACATAGGCAAGTAGTGGCAGCAAGTTCTGCTCCCACTGTGTACCTGGTGAGCCACACATCTCATGCCAACTAGGATGCCAGCCTACATTTACCTCCTGGGGAAGGCTCACCCTCGGGAGCGTGTGGTGGGTTGAGGGCCCAGTGGAGGTTGCGCCTGAATTCCGGCTGGTCCTCGGTGTGGATGAGCTCGAAGACACTCTGGTGCATGACATCTGTCTGGAGGGAAAACGCAACCTGTGAGCTCTGCAGCCTGTCCCTGGGTGCCAGTTTTCATGTCCCATCTGAAAACAGCCCGTCAGGGCCCCAGCTGGCCAAATGAGGCCTTCCACCAACACTGATGCCGGTGGGAACAGAGAGCACACCTGGCTCTAAGAACCCCTTGCCCACATTGGGCCTGACCTCCCTCCCAGTCCTAAAGAGCCAATACAGCTTCCCTGTTACACTCTCACCCCTGTAACATGATGTCTTTCAAAATCTTAAAGCTGATTTATGGGATGAGATGAAAACATGGTTTGGGAACAAAACAGCAGCAAAGCCACCTTATCCCTACACTATTCCCGAAAGAATAAGGCTCTGGGACCTGCTCCCTTTGCTCAGGTGGACAGTCCTCATCTACCCTAGATGCTGGGGATAGCCAGCTGCGTGGGAGCAACACCAAACCACAGCAACTGAGGGACTGCAGGTAAGTCCCACTTCCCTGTAAACCTGATCTAGTGCCTTCCAGGTTACCTGGGTGCCCAAGATAACCAGAAAGCATTGGAGCCTTATGGGATTTACCAGCGGCCACCAGGGGAGTGGGTGCCCAAAACAAACTGGGCAGGGAACCCCAGACGTCTCACCATGGCCATGAAACCTCATGGCCCATCAACATGGCTGGTGGACCAAAGAAGTCCATCTGTGGGCCAAAGAAGTCCTTTGTCACCTATCAGTGACCACGTCTGGCAATACGGGGTCCAAATTCACAAGACCAAGGAAAAGCCCCAAACACCCCCCTGAGACCCCGTGACCCCTGCAGAGCCTCTTCCTGGCAGGGAACTCGGGGCTCTTCTCCACCACCAAGGAAAAATCGACTCTGCAAACCTACCACAGCAAGCCAGAGGAGTCCCACTGACCTGATGAAATCCCAGATAGTCCTGAATCGTATGTGAGGAGTAAAATATCAGCCCTTCTGATGTCACCACCAGCACAAAGCCATTCAGTGCCTGTGGGAGAGAGGAGACATACCTGTCACACTCACATCACTCTTGCCCAGCAGGACACTGGTCACCCCAGTCCTGGCTGGCCCCAGCTGGCAGGGAGCTGAGCCACCACAGACAGCACCTTCTGCTGGGTTTTCCTGAGGTCATGCAGCTTTTCCATACAGCTGCCCGAGCGTATCCTAATCCAAACTGATGGAAAACTTTGCTTCCATCCTGGGAGCATTCACTCAGACTCAGCTTTGGAGGACATTTACACTCATCCTATGTGAAGAGCAAATAAAAATCTCTGACCTGCTTGCAGAACAGGAGTGGACACCATCAGGAACTGGTCCGTTCTGGTGGAAATGAGCCCTTCCAACAACCCGGAATCAAACCAGCATTTCATGTTGGCTGCATTAGTGCTGTGTCTACCCAGGTGGCTCTGCTCTCATAGGTCCCACCTTTCTCATGGCCCAGGAAGGTCTTGGCAGCCATGTGTGGCTGCATGAGGCTGGAAAAGCCAGGGGATGTTCAGGGGAGAGCAAACCCACCACAGTGATGCCAGCATTGGCTGGGCATTCCCTGCTGCTGCTTGTGGATGGGGATACTGGTTTGGGAGAAACCTACCCAGTCCTGGCCTCGTCTGCATCCCTCCTGTCCTCCCCAGGTGCCAGAGGAGGACCATGGAGTGCAAAGAGCAAGGCCAAGGAAGGTGTTGTCTCCCCTGCCCTCTCCCTCCCCGAGGTGGCCAAACCAGTGTTGAGAGAGCCTCAACCAGTGGAAATGAAAAAGGTAAAAGGGTTTGGTTTTTGAAACTGCAGCAAAACCATCTGATTTCTGACATGCCAATTTCTTTTTAAGCGGGAGGGAGGACAGGCCGAGTCTTTGCACCTGGAGAAGACTACAAGGGGCAGAGGAGCTTCCCTACCAGTTTGGGAGTGCAGCTGCTGTCCCAGGGGGCATGGTTTTTCATCCCTACTCCCTGGCACCAGGCAGGAGCTGACAGGCAGAAGACCACTGCTGACACAGGCACTGGCAGGATCCAGGGAAGCATCCTTAAGTGCTGCAGGCACAGCACCAACCTTTGCGAGCCTCTGTGGCACAGAGCCCAGTGCTTTGAAGACCTTGTCATCCCCCTGCCAGGGCAGAGAGCAGGCCCACAGGAGTCCTCCCTGAGCCCAAGTGATAGAAATCACTGTGACTCAGTTTCCCCAACTCTGAAACGATCCTGACAGACATCCAGTTTAAAGCTTCAAGCCCACAGAGCTGCGTAAGAGCAAAGGTCATGAAAACCCATGAAAATCACTGGTTTACCTCCCCAGAAGCCAAAGAGCTTTCACTGCCCTGACAGCACCCCGTGGCCACCCCTCCCTAAGGGCAACAGGTCCCCGTGGGGACACACTGCCAGCAGGAAGCAGGAGCCCTCTGCAAGGCAGGGTCTTGCATGTGGACCCCAGAAGCCCCAGAGCCAAAACCATCCTGTACCACTAACCTGGCAGGGAAGCCACAGTAGCCAGCCCTGGCTGCTTCCTCCACTCCATAATGCACAGACATCAGGATTAATTAGGGTCTGGCGTGTAGGCTCAGCCAAGTCCAGCTATTGTTGCTGCCAACTCCTGTTTCATTGTCAAGGTTGGTGTTTCTCCCCCCTCTCCTTCCCTTTATTCTGGGCACAAATGCTCTCTCTATTTGCTGGGGTTGATCTCAGTGTGTGGGAATCTGCTGCAGAGGTTAATTAGTGCTGCCAAATGCACTTTAACCCTTTGAGCAATTTCAGAGCAGGAGAAAGGAAGAATCAGAGTGGACCAAGAGACAAAGGAACTTTGGACATCAGAGGTGATAGATTGGATGGAAGCAGGTTTATAAACATGTAGGACCATCTCCTTGGGGCATGAAGGCAGATTCGGAGCCCCTGCCACATCCAGAATCCCACTGACAGACCTCTGGGAGAGCCAAACCTACACCCAGAGCTTTTAATGCCCAGCTTGGTACCTCTAAAAGGATAGCATCCAGCTCTGGGAGGAGTTAATGAGCAGGAATCAACCCCCAGCAAGCCCTGCTGAGCAGTTTTGTTACACCCTGAGGGAAAACCCTCAGTTTTTTGGTTGTTAACTAGCCTGGCTTTAGCACTTCTCTCCCTAGACATGGAGATCCTGGCTCCTCAGCTTTCCAGCAGGACAGTAATTACAATTCCTGCTGAGTGAGCGTTTGGAGGGGAGCTGGGGCTGCCCAGCATGCTTGTCCCACGCTGGAGGCCAGCCAGGCAGGGGTCAGAGCTGCAGCCTGTGCCCGGGTGCCAGGCGGGGAGGGGAGACCTGTGTCCTTGCAGGACCTTGCGCTGCCAGAGCCTGACCTCCTCCTATTCACTGCTCACAGTTTGGAGACAGAAGGTCATCTCCTGCATCTCTGAATAAACCATGGAAGCAGCAGGCTCAACCAACCATGCTGCAGCATCCCCAGCCTTGTCTCCAGCATCACCAAGGGAGCTCTGGCAGAGCTCCTGGGATACACCCTGGGACTGTGGGCTGAGCACACAGTCAGCACCTGTCTACGTACTGAGTGGCATCACTGCCACAAAATCAGGAAAGACTCCCATGACATTTTCTTCCCTGTTTTCACCAATGTTTGCACAACATGCTTGAGTCAGGACCAGTGTGCCCATGCTGAAAACAGCACTCAAACACCTTGGCTCCCACATAACACCTACAGCACATTTACACATGAGAGTGAAGAAACAGAGATGAATCTCTGTGCTCAGAATTCCAGCACTGCTTCTACCAAGATGTTTCCTACACATGGACAATTTACAGATGCCAATTTTCTCCAGGAACATGGGAAAACCAGGGGAGCAGCAACACAGTTTCTTCTCCAGGGACCTGAGGAGGTCTTACACCTCTGCTCAGTCACAAGCACAGAGAGCTACACCACACAGAACGATGGCTTCACCAAAACACCTGCCACCAGCAACAGAACAGCCTGCTTTCAGGGCAAAACTCAAACGAGCTGGAAAAGGGCCAAGAGGAAAATCCCTTGAAGGCATTTGCAAGAGAGAGGTGGCCAGTGAGGAACACTAACCTGTAGGAGCAGCTCTCCCTCCGGCACGGCTGCCGAGGCTGGAGCGGGTCCATTGCCGCAGTCTCCGTCCCCCTCCACCTCTTCGGCACCGCCATTCTTCAGAGTCACTGCACGAAGGAAAGGGAAGGGACATCAGTGCTGCAGGAGCACACACAGCTCACCGCCTTGAACATCCCAAAAGTGGACCTGGCTGCAAAGCTGGACAATGCTGTGCCAGGGGAAGCCACCATGGAGTCACAGCCCTTTGCTTCACCCCTCAAAGAGCCGATTTTAACAGGACATTTTTCCCAGTACCCTGAACTGCTTTGGTTTGTTGGTTTGTTTTTTTTTTCCATTCTTTTTTCCCTCCTGGAACTTTAATGACCTACAAGTAATAAGCAGTTAAAGCCAGGGATCCTTAAAGCAGGTAGGCATCAGAATCATAAAATCACGGAATTGTTGAAGTTGGAAAAGACAGCCAAGATCATCCAGTCCATCCATTCCCCCAGCACTGCCAAGTCCACCACTAACCCATGACCCCAAGTGCCAATCCACAAGTCTTTTGAGCATTTCTAGGGACAGTGAATTCACCACTGCCCTGGGCAGCCTGTGCCTGTGCCTTACCACCCTTTCAGTTAAGAAATTTTCCCTAATATCCAATCTAAACCTCCCCTGGCACAACTTGAGGCCATTTCCTCTTGTCCTGTCTGTTGTTCCCTGGGAGAGAGCCTGACACCACCCCACCGCCCCCTGGCTCCCCCCTCCTGCCAGGGAGTTGCAGAGCCAGAAGTTCCCCCCTGAGCCTCCTTTTCTCCAGGCTGAGCCCCCCCAGCTCCCTCAGCCACTGGGCTCATGTCCAGCCACTGTCACCAGCACCCCAGCTCCTTTTCCAGTTTGCTCTGCCCCAAGCCTGGAGCTCTGCAGGACCAACAGCAGCAAAAGTCTGCCCTCCACTCTTCCAGTATGAGGAATGTGCCATTTTGAAGGATATAGCTCAGTCAATGATGTCTTGTTACAGTTCAGCAACACAGAGAGTTTATTCAACCAAATTAAGGCAAGTCACAGCTCACAGTGGGAGAAAAACAACACGGAAAACACATGGATACAAACACAGACATCTGAGATCGAAAAGTGGTCGATGCACAATCCATACGGATGAGGAAATCTGTCACTCAGTTTAACTAAAAGATGTGTCTGCATATTTTGCTCTGTGCTCCCCAAGAGAACAAATCCTGAGGATATTTTAGGGTGGATAATATTAAAAGCCTGTGCATGACAGGCCTGTCCAGGAGACAGAGGAAGCTGCAGGAAAGCTGGGAAGCTTCTTGCCAGCACCATGAGGACAGAGGACAGCATTTGCCTGCTGCTAAACCAGCTGCTCCCCCTGGAATGTGGAAGGAAAGGTGTGAGGCACCAGCTGCAGCACCACTGCAGCCTGCCAGTGCTCAGAGAGGGCAAGAGCTCTTTTGGGTTTGCCTTTCCCAGCTCCTGTGCTACATGTGCCACAGAGCTGACAGGCTCAGATGCAACAGGAACAAGTGGACCCTGGAAGCAATTTAATGGCCCAAAAAGCTGTCATGGGGAGCAAAGCTGTGAGCAGAGACTGAGCAGCGACTCAGAAGGCAACAGCCACCAGCACATAAACAAAACCAGGCTCTGTAACACTCGGCTCACCCTGTGCTTTGCCAAAGCAGCTGCCGCAAATCAGCTCCTCCATCCGCGTGGAGCAGGTCCCGAAGGACTCAGGTGCTGCAAAAGGCAGATGTTCCAGCTGCATCTCAGCCTTCCAGGACCACCAGGTCTAAAGCTGAACCCAGGGGCACCCATGAGAGAAAGGGTGGTTCGGTCTCCACTGTGGAGCCCCCCCATGCAATAGGATTTCTCTGCTGGGAAGGCAAGGATGTGGCAAAGGCACATGGCCCCCTCCTCCACTGCCAGGGCTCCCCTTGCATCCCAAAGCCCTCCACACCCTCAGCAGGCACTGGCTCGCAGGGGGGTGGGAATAAGGAGGGATGCTGTGGTCTGCAGAGCCTCACCAGTACACACCTCAGGCTTTGGGGACAAAATGTTCTTCCACCAGGCACAGGACCATCCCAAAGATCGACTCAGCTCCATAACCAAAGGCAAAGCATGTCCCAGCTCTAATATTACGAGAAAAACACCTGATATGGCAGCAAATCCCCTGCTTCTGGAAATTCCCCTCGAGCTCAGTCTGCCCAGATGATGTCAGGAGCTGTGCGGACACGGATGGGCCGACAGCAGGGTTGAGGTGTTTGTCCACCCACGGGTCGGTCCTGAGCGTGGCCTCGTTCTGTCTCACCCCAAATGCCATCCCACCATGAGGGACCATCCAGGGTCCCCTGCCCAGGCTGGAGCCCAACACAAATCCCAGGCAGGGACAGGCCATGGGGCAGAGCAGCAGGAGAGCAGAGGGCCACAATGGCCCTGTGGTGTGGATGGAACAGGTTTGTGCCAGCGCCCTTCTGGCTTTTCCGATCGCTGGGAGCAAAATGTAGGAGTTATGAATTATTAAAGGTCTCCAGTCCTCCTCTGCGAGCTCCCAGCCTGCTGTGCCAGAAGTGTGAGATAAAAATAAACCTGGCTGACAGGAGAGCAGCTAAAGGGTGCTGTCTTCTGCTCAGGGGTCTGGTTTAATGGTTTGATATAACCCCTGCAAAAGGAAATCTTAACTCTGACGGCTAAAAATAAGACTTTGCTATCAGCACCTGGGCTCTCGGGTAAAAGCAGAGGAGGGCCTGCTGTTCTCAGTGCAGATTCCTGCCATCAAACCCAACCTGCTCCTGCAAACAGGATCGAACCACTGGGGCGTGAGGGCTGCTCTCCTATAAACCACAGTTCCCATGGGGGTTTCCCTGCCGACTTCACCAAACAGCGCCTTTTCCACCGAGTCACCCAAGGAACCCCAAAGACGACCTGCTCCTGGGTGTGGCCACTCCCAGCTGGCCTCCTGCCCGGTGTGCCCCGGCTTTGTCTGCCCATAAATAGCCCCTCGCAGCCCCTCGGGTCAGCAATTCAGCAGAACTGTCACAGCACATCAGGCTGACGGGGCGGAGACGAGTCGGGGAACCGCCGCCGCATCCTCCCCCCACCCGGAGAGCAGGGACCGGGAAAGGTGCCCTGCCGGCACAGCACTTCACGCAGGGCAGCGAGACGAGGGGCAACCTCTGCCCTCGCTGCGCAATTTTCAGCGGAAAAAAAATAAAAAGGGGGGGAGGAAATAAAAAAAAAAAAAAGGAGAGAGGTGGCCTTTGCTGGGCTCCCTCCCTCTGGCCACCGGCATCGCCTTTGCTGCTGGAAGGAGAAAGGTGAGGAGACAAGTCGGTCACCTGAAAGCAGCAAGGCTTGCACAATTTTCTTGCTATTTCTTCCAAGAAAAAGAAAATACAGCTTCTGCCAGGCCCTGCAGGCTATTTTGCCACAAAAAGCCTTTTAGCTGAGAGGAAGAAAACCTCTCCCTGCCCGGTCCCATCTCCGAGGAACAAACTCCCTGCCCGATGTGCCTCCCCATGGGAGGAGGATGCTCCCTGCCCCTGGTCATCCTCACACACAGGTGCCCACGGTGCTCACCAGGACTCTGCTGCCTGGCCCGCTGCTGTCACCCCCAGGAACTGGAGGGCTGGGGGGGGGCGAGGAAGTGGCTTTCCTTCCTCCATCTCCAGGTGCTTCCCTCGGCACTCAGCCTGGGAAGCTGTTTCACGTGGTGCTGAAGTGACACCTCACTGCCTACCAGGTTTGCCAGTGAACTCCTGAACCTGCCAGGGCTTTGCAGACCTGAGAAATCTCTGCACCACCAAGCGGGAATTAACATTTTTGAGAGGATATCTCCCAGCCCCCCTTCCCTCCACAGAGCAAAAGCTCCCGGTGGGGGCAGTTTCACATCATCTGCTGACTGCAGAGGAGGAAAACAACACAACTCCCAAACCTGCCCCAGGTGTCAATGCAGGAGTAGCAGGAACAGGAAACCAAACTAATTCATGGCTCTTCAAGGGCTGCAGGCAAGGGCTGGGCCATCTGCATGGCCATTGTTAGTGGGAGCAGGCCTTGGGGAGGGGAGAGAGAAGGATTTTGGTAATGGTGCTCCCTGCAAGCCCCAGTGTGTATCAGTCACTCTCAGGGGAAAGGAGAGATTGATTTATTATATTAATTGCCTTTTTGTGGCAATTCCCTGAAAAGCTGGTCTTCCACTCATGGGAGTATAGACCTTACCACGAGGGACCACGAGGGACCTCCAGATTCCCACCCACCCCTCCAGCTTTGAGATGCTCACGGGCAGAGGGACCTGCAGCTCTGCTGCTCAGTACAGACCCTCAAAATTGTTTTCCTGCACTTTATTGCAAAGAAGAAAGAAAATATTGAAAATTTAGAAAAAAAAACCAAACAACCAACCACTCAACACTTTGGGTTTCTTTTGAATAAACTGAGGTTGTTTCATGTTTAAGAATCACTTAAAGGAAAACGTGGTGTTGCCCCAGCCAGAGCAACATTTTCCTTTAAAACGGACAGGGCTTGGAGCAACCTGGTCTAGTGGAAGGTGTCCCTGCCCATGGCAGTGGGGTGGAACAAAATAAGCTTTTAAGGTCCCTTCCAACCCAAACTATTCTATGATTCTGTGACACAAAGGGATCAAAATTTGGCCCAAATGCCTTCTTGGTTGCCACGCTCAACCCAGTCTCCTCCCTGCCTCAGTTGGTTTCTCATCAGAGCTGTACAAAGCCCATTTTCTAGCAACTGGAAACTACTTCTTGACTTTCCATTTGCTTATTCCTAATGGATACTACAGTTTTACTTAACTTAATACCTGCCACAGCTCCCTGTTGACACAAATTTCATTAAACAGATGAATTATTTATCCCTGCCTGAATGGTGTGGATACACCACCTTCTGTGAACACGCACAGTGAATAATGGATGGCCTCTTATCAGATCTAATTGCACTTTTAGAAGCAAGGAGGCCTTAACCACGTGTGGCTTTTTGTTGTGTCACCAAAGGCACTTGGGTCTCAAAGGGAGAGGCACGTGCAGAAGTTTAAACAAGGACAAAGATGACAAGGACCTGCCAGGCTTTCCCTTCCTCCTGCAGCATCAGCAGCGGTTTGAACTCTCCTGCT